TTTGTCCAAGTCTCAGGTCTTTTTGGCCCACAGTTTCTGAGTTATTTGCCGCAACGTTTCACGCATCTTTGTAGAGCTTTGTATGGAGACGCCATATTGGCGCACGGTTTTGGTGCACCAATATGGCCGCCGAAAATCAACAAAAACATCTGGAGTTCACTTGTTCTATAAAAGCTCCTTCTTTTCACTCGAGAACTAGCCTACGTGCGCATAAACATATCTTCTAATACTTGAAATGGTTATACTGCTGAAAATCAAGAGGAGAGACTTTTTTTCAAGGAGACAGTATTCCTATTTTGGTGTCACGCACTGTGAAAACTCGGAAGTTCAAATTGCTGTATTTTCGAAATGAAACATGCTATGGGACTGAAAACTTGTACAAAGATTAACTTTTTGTTTATCTTCAACCTAGTGTAAATAAGAATTCGTAAAACCTCGCTATTTTGACTTTACAATTTGATGACGTCACTGTGAAAACCATCTATATGATAATATCGGTAGCGTAAAAATTCCAGTGGAAAATGTAAGTTGGCTGATACTATCAAAGAGAATCGACTTTTTTGAGAGTCTAAAGATAAAGACGCAGCAAATGAAATTATTTCCTTTCTACTGATTCCACGTCAAATTACCTCTTGTTTATGACGATCAATCGATCGCAGCAAATTAAAATATTTCTTTGTGATTGATTTTAGAACATGTCCAGAAATCTCGCACATCAGACTTCGTGCGACTTACATTCAGGCTGTTTCGCAATGGCTTTTTCTGCTGGTTTTTACTGTGATTCCCGGGCTCATAATGTTCAGAAAGTTCGAGTGGTCCAATACATAGCTGTTTATGGTCAAATAAAAGCAGCTGACCAAAAATACTGCTACAAGCAAAGATGGAAAAAATTCTGCGAAACAAGCTTTCGAACTTGAGGTTTTGGAGCCAAATACGGAAGCCCTTAAGGGACATCGATGCTAATGCTTAATTGAGAGTTTGTCTTTTGAAAATCGGAGTTTGTTTTATCGAAAATCAGAGTTTGCTTTTTGAAAATTGGAGTTTGTTGTTTTGAAAATCGGAGCTAGTTTTTTTGAAAATCGGAGTTTGTTTTTTTGAAAATAGGAGTTTGTTTTTTGAAAATCGGAGTTTGTTTTTTTGAAAATCGGAGTTTGATTTTTTGAAAATCGGAGTTTGTTGTTTTGAAAATGGGAGTTTGTTTCTTTGAAAATGGGAGTTTGTTTTTTTGAAAATCGTGGTTTGATTTTTGGAAATCGGAGCCTTTTTTTATGAAAATCCGAGTATTGGCCCCAGATTCTGCTCTGTGCTTCTGCTCTTGAGTTGGAACAAAATCAGTGGCGGATCCAGGGGAGGGGCCCGGGGGACCTGCCCCTCCCCTTATTTTTAGACCGAACTGAGGCTTGAGACCGACAGACCGCCCCCCTCCCCCTTATCTGAAGGTCTGGAAGATCTATTTAAGTCTTTAAAACTTTGTATACGTGCTGGTTAAGCATTTAATGATTAATCTTGGCAAGCACTTAACTCTCTCTTTGCACGAGTCTTCTGACCTGGCTGTCAGCCATCTTGGTTGAAACTTCTTGGTACTTAAAATAAGCAGAGACTGGGGCAACAGTTAAAAACAAACTCCGGTTTTCAAAAGACAAACTCCGATTTAACGATAAAAACGTACTCCTATTTTCAAAAAACAAACTCCTATTTTCTATAAAAACAAAGACCGATTTTCAAAAACAAACTCCGATTAAGCATTAACATCGATGTCCCTGGGGCTTCCGTACAATTTAGATGATTTTTGGCCGAGATATTGTAGAGCGATCAGGGGCACCCAACGGATCTGTTCCTCACAATATCTGTTCTACAGAGAAAATTTTGCTGGCTGGGAACTGAGGTTTCGGCTGTTCTGCTGGGAAGTAAAGTCTTAAATCTGCGGTCAAAAATTTATCAAATGTATCAAAAATTCTTGCTGGAGATATTTTATCCCTCTAATTTGTTAGAAATTTTTCTTGGGTGTATATCCAGCTGGGTATCAGGTGTTTTCGGCTCCTCTCAGGTGGCTCCTCTATGTACGCGAATTGTACGCGCTGAGTCGCTCGCTGATTATTTATTTACCGCTGATCAAAAAATCTGCACGTGGGCACCGTTGTTAGAAATTCGAAATCAGGCCACGCTCCGCCACTGGATAACTGGCAACGGTTCACCGGCGGTTAGGACGATTCATGAGATTCATGTTTATGCAAAAGGTAAGGACCTATTAAACAGCCTGATGTATTATATTCAAGTTGGACTGAATAGGATTCACAAAAGATACATCTAGGGAAGGCTTAGTGACGTTCCTTTTTCATTACCATTGTAGTTGTTGTTATTCTTGGTTGACAGGCGAGAGATAGGGCTGTGTGTTATTTATTTTGACCGTATATACTCGAATCAGCGCCGCAATTTCCAAGCAACCCTGCGGCGCTTATTTGAATACAGATTTTTTTTTTCTGCTGGCTGGTAAACATGGAGAAGGCCGCTCTGCTGGCTGGGAGAATAGCCATCTAACCTGCTGGGAGTGAGGAACAGATAAATTCTTTCCAGCAACACAGAAAAGCGCTTGAAAATGCCTTAAAAGCATCTAAATTTTCGTTTTCTGTAGTTAACAGCTCATTTTCAGAAAAATGTTCGTTGGGTGCCCCTGAGCGATGGTCTTGGATTTAAGCCGTAGAGTAGAAGCGCTTTTGCAAATAGAACTTACTCCAAATTTTTCAAACGTGGGAAGGAAAAGTATATGCTTTTTCAGTGGACAAAAAAACTCACGAGCGAAAGAGAGAAAAGAATTTTTAAGCGGGACCTCTTAGCTTGTCCCAAAGGAATTATCATTAATTACCGAAGAAAAGAGGTTAATCAAAGTGGCAGTGCTCCATTTGCAAAGGTCGAATGATGTGGAAGACAAAGGTAATTTTTTCGTATTTTATTTCCATGCTGGGAAGGGCGAGATTTGCAGATAGGAGTTTAAGTTTGTCAAAACTAAGATCTAAATAAGTCAGCCTTTCAGTCTCAAGCGGCTACTAGTTTCCAGGTACATCGCACAACATGCTGTATTGCAAATTATTTTATTTATCTCACATTTCGTTGTAAAATTTCCTTTGTTTAATACTGTTGGAAATTTTCTAAGTGTCCACTGGTACCGCGCGTGCGTGAAATCAAATTCTGGCCACTAAAACTTCAAAACCTCCTGTTTCTAGCGATCGGTCGTATAACAAACGCCTTGGACTCATTTGCATTATAATTTGAACGGCACGGGAGCTTCTTTTGATTGTTTGACTTGGCCATAAACACATTACCCTGAGTCCTTTATTCGAGACTGAATCCTACAGGGATGCTTGATTACTACGCGAAAAAAAAAGCGTCATAATAACTGTAACACAGCAACTACAACAAGCGGCCGAAACATACAGTGTCGATCAAACACATGTCATTGTGCGCAAGGGGTACCTGTCCCCATGGCACTATGGGAAAACTCTGAAAACTTCAAGCCGAGTTTATTGTGTGATGTCATGGTCTCTCCAACGGAGTGTCTGGAAACGGCCCAGTTTCTGCTGAATATGTTGAGGCTTTTGATCACGTGACATTGAAGGTGCACGCATGCAAACTATGTGTAGCTATGTGTGGCTATGTGTAGGTATTAGTGGCTATCTGTTGCTATATGTGGCTATGTGTTTCCATGTGTGGCTATGCTTAGTTACGGGTGGCCATGTGTGGCTATGTGTACTTATGTGTGGGTGCGTGTTGCTACGTGTACCTATGTGTGGCTATATGTGGCTATGTGTAGCTATATGTGCAGAGCCCCCCCCGGACCTGTTGATCCAGACACAGCAAGTCTGTGGATGAATTTGTTTTCTTTAGACTCAGTTATTTTTATTATAGTGACTTGCATTTGTTTGCCATTTTCGGAGCCATATCTCATGACAAGTGCTGAAAATAGCATTTTGGAGTGTACAAAGTTGAATATTTTCTGGGGCAGGATAAACTGTTCGCCGATTGGGCACAATGATACAAAGCATTTTTTGTGCCCAATCAGGAGCAGGCATCTGCTTGAAGTTTTGGAAATAGTTCGGTGAGAGTCGGTACCCGGGGTCTCTTTTGCAAACTTTCGTCCCCGGCCTTTTCCGACCCGACTGACTGCCCGAGGGTCTCCGAGGATGGGAATATCTTTGCTGGCTAGAAAAAAAATCATTGATAATACAGAACATGTGCCATTTCACTCCGGGGGGGGGGAGGTACTCCCACATATGGGCTATATAGGTACGTGCCGCGGAATAGGGTATGGTTTTTGAGGTTCTCGGTTCTTAAATAGGGTATCTTTTTTGACCCTTTTGTTTCTGTGTCCCTGGTGTGGTCCTTAGATAGGGCAGCTTAATTGTATTATCTAATACTGGGGTGTGAAAACGCCCGCCTAAACGAACATTTTTTTTTAACTAGGCTTATTCTAGTGTTTTATGCTTGATGCTATACATCCAATGTTACAGAGAAGAAATAAAGTTTTCCTTTAATAATTTTGTTTTTTCCTTGAATAGGGTGTCATTTTTCGGCTTTCGGCCTTAAAAAGGGTATCATTTTTCGCTTTCTTACTCCTTAAATAGGGTTAGGGTTCACGAACCTTCGCGGCACACCCCTATCCTAAATTCGCGGGAGTAACCCCCCCCGGGCATTTCACTCATCATAGAATAGAGTTGGCTGAAGTAAATTTCCTAGGCCGGGACGACCAATCAGAAGCACTACCAAGATCGGGGTAGTGGCATGTCATCAGTATGGAATTTTAGCACTTGTTGCTCAGACCTCACGAGAAACCAGCGGTGGCGTGGCAAAATATCTGCTGTTTTCTGAGGCTGACAAATGTTGGCTAGTTTTAGATCTAATTTTTCAAATCTATTTTGAAAGTTGGGGCGTTTGTTACGTTTGTTTATAGTATCAAAGATAATCCGGCTACAAATATATGGAATTGACTTGGGCCTTGCTGCCAGTCAGCGGATCCATAAGTTTAATGAGTAAGATTGTGATGGTGTCGGCTTGTATGATGGATTAGCGGTATTTCCAAAGTCATATTTATATTTAGTTCTAGAAAGTTTGTTTATCGCAGTTATTCCAATTCCGTGATCAGCATGTGCACAGCCTGAACCTCCTCCACCAATCATCATGATAGATTTAAATACGTATACTGGAGTTCGAGGTCCATAACTACACCAGAAGCCGATCTTGTTGCTGCCTTGGATGTTGCCACGACACTCAGCCTGTTGAAACCCGTCTGTTGTCTTATACTGACCGTCATATTGAACCGTGCAGCTTCCTAGGCACCGAGCTGTACGTCTGGACCAAATTTTGCCGTTTCTAAAGTCGCCATAACTTGTGGTTTTCGATCGAAATGTTTTTCTACCCAAACAGTTCTCTGTGGTCTGCAACAGTGGTGTATGACTGGAATCATCACTGCGCGTGATCCTAAACTCGCTGCCGCTTACCAACCAGAAAGCTGGTGAGATCATGTCCGTATTATTTGAAGGATCGCTTGTTGTTCCTATGGTAACGTTTTGGTCATACCACCAAAGTCTATCATCATTTATCCAGGACACTTTATCAAAGTTAGAAAATCTTGCAATAAGAGTCCATGGTTTACCTTTGGCTGTGACGTCACAATAGACCTGCAGATAAAGAGTTAATTTTTATCTATTAATTTTTTTCCGGGGCATATTCCCTACAATGGCCTATACGGGGAAGCTCCTCCTCCAGTAAAGGGTACCTATTACAGGCCTCAGGGTGGGGAATCTGTTATTTCAGTTAATGAGAGGCCCAAAAGAGGAAACAAATGCATTTTATCGTTGTAAGACAATCAGGGAAACATTCTGGTCTTGAGAATTAATCATTTAAAATACATTGCCTTTAAAAGTTAAAAGGGATGCAAAATTGCAAAAACTGGTCTGTGAAAGGGGTACCATTTGTCATTATAAGGTATATGAAAGGGGGACCTTTTCTGTAGAAAATGGTGGGTAAAAAGGGAAAAGGGTTGGACCTCGGGGCGGAGCCTCCACGTATAAAACTTTATTGAGTACCCCCCGGTTTTTTTCCCTAGGAAATAATCTTTTGATATGAAAGCAGACCTGAATTGTGTACTGAAATATCAAGGCTGTCTGTGTCACGTGGTCAAGATGCACCATCGCTTTATGTACGCTTGAAAGAGTTTGCTTACGCACTCAAAATCAGAGATTTAACAGTGAGAACCACACTGATCGGTAATCATGAAAAAGTCAATAGCCTCTAATAAAGCTTACCTCAAATTGTAGCGATTTCACTTTTAGCTGGTATATTCCATCTGTTGTAACAGCTTCACATGACGAGTGTTGAACTGAACAAAAATAATAAAACACTTTTGGAAAAAGATTGGAATGCACCGCAATGTCATAGGTTGCTCACTGTTTATATTATCAGTATTATGTTAGCCTCGATCTCTGCCAACTTTTGTGATATAGTTACTTTCTAAGCTCAATCGAGGTCAGCGAAACCTGGGTTGCATGGGCCGGTTTCTTTAAGGTTGGAAGGGAAATTTCTCAAGTAATATCTCGCGCGCAAAGGGAGAAAAGGACTTCCCCTCGCGCGGCTTTTAAAAAAGCTAATAATAACCGTTTGCAAGATCGATTTTTCTGTTGCAGCTAATTCAGAGATAAATGTGTGAAATATAATGACATGTCGTTAGCAAATCTTTATAGTTGTCACGTCCTCTGTGATTGAAGCGAAATTTTAATGATGTAGAAGAGTTTTTTGGTCGCAAAAGAGCTAAACTTATAATAAAGACTATTAGCTTTTAAGAATATATAGGACAAAAGGGAACCTTTAAACTGAAACTTTTAAAACAGGAACCTAAGACAACTGACATGAAACAATCACTGTACAACAACAACAAACTAAAAACATAGGCACGTTTTACGTGCATGAGCTATTTTGAATGCTTCAGTGTAACAGTATCGGCAATCTACTCTTTTAATCCTAGATAAACTGCTATGTTTTGTGCGAAATTGGGTATATAATAGCGGCACATTAAAGAAAACGAGAACCGCTGCGCATAGCTGAATCGATCTTCATACTACAGATTCACTTTTCTGTCTTTTTTAAAGTACTATGAATATCAACTCACCAAACGTTGCTTTAATAGAGGGAAGACTCGAATGTTTCAAGGTTTCTTCATGGTTTCTTAAAATAATGAAGCTCATCGAATACCGAAAAGCTAAGAAATGCCACAATTTTCATCATTGTTGTAGATGGTTGAATCATCATTATTCAAGAGATTGTCACGTTCGATTGGACTTTAATTGAACAGTCTTTGAGTCTGACGACTTAATTCTAAAAGTGTTGTAAGTTATTGCTTGTTAAAAGAAAAGAACCTTCGCTTAGGCACCAGTTACAAAGCTAAAGATCTCTTTATACGTTCAAGTTTACTATCATTACTGTGAGAAGCCAGCATGAAATGTAGAATCACACAGTTTGCACGTGAAAGTGTCGGACTTTGCCCCCCTTCGTGGCTCGTACTTGAGGGAATTCGAGTTATCACGCAGTAATTCAGCAAACAGGATTATAAAAATAACTCAAGTACACAATTTACACGTGAGGGTGTTGGACTTTATCCCTTTCAATTTTACAATTCGTACGTACAATAACGCAAATTGTTTACTTCAAAATTTGCTCAAACGATTTTAAGAAATCTTCTCGGCTTTACAATATCTGCAATTAAAGAATGCTTTACGCAACGTTAAGGTTGATTTTCCTTCCAAGAAAATTGTCAAACTGCCGAAATACATTCGGTTCTACTCATATCGTGTTATTCCACTCAATAGAACAATTTATAAAATAACTAAGATAGTACGTGCGCTCTGATTGGCCGAGAGGATTGTTTGCAAGAGAGTATGTAAACATGGTTGTGGCGTCAAGATGTTTTGCTTTTCGCGCGCTAATCACGCAAGCACACATTTGAAAAAGTTTTCAAGCTCAACGACAAGTTTACTTTACTTACCCATTCCTTCGTCGGGTCAAACTTGGAAAATCGTTCCAAAGGAGGTGTGTCAATTTTTTTTTTCGCTTAAGTTGACATTTTAAGCGAAAAAAATCCGTATTTTGGAAAGCATCTTTTTGCAAAACAAGAACTGACTACTAGTGCATAAGACTTTGCGACTGGTAAGAATTTCTCTTTTAATCAGGACCGTAACAAACAGTTTGCGTTTTTTCTCGGGAGAGTTATTTTTAAAAGCAATAGAACACTTTTTGCCTGTGGTTTAAATAGCCTGATATAAACACTCGAGGGATTGGGAGAATTCTCGACAGTTATGCAAACCCTCGACTTCGTCTCGGGTTTGCATATTTGTCTCGAATTCTCCCAACCCCTCTCGTGTTTACATCAGGCTATGCAAACAAATGTAATTATTTTGTCAGCCAGCTTCTTCCCATTTAATTCCCTGACGTTACTGTATCTACTTAAATTACGCAACTTTACTAAATAAATTACTTTTCAATAACTATAATGACTCTTAAGCAGCAAGCTTGTTTCACGTTGTTCACCTAATTCATGGTTTTTTTCCCGGTACGAAAAAGGTCTGTTGAACTTTGTAACCGAGAGAAAAAAGGATTAACGATACTCGCCCTGCCTTTCGAACTTCTAAAACGACAATTTATCTAAATTTCCCTATCTAAATTTCAATTATCGTTTCATTGGAGGAACTTTGAAAAATATATGATCTTTTACACTCAACCTTTAAGCAGGTGAAACAGAACTCATACATTATGACATACGTGCGTTGTACCGTTCGTGTTAGCCGAATTAGGCCAGAAATGTCTTGAAGCAGCACCCGCACTAAAATATGCACCCTTCAACAGCTCCATCACTGTACTCAGCGTTTGAATCATAAGGATATTTCAATGATATGCTTCTAAACACCTTTAGCCGTAATAAAAGGCGAAAAAATTGTGAAGAATCAAGATGGCGGTCTCAAAGTGCCCTTGTTTGACCTTAAGCCGGGTGAATGTCATGTTAGATGCCAAAACCTCATTGGTTCCTACTCTTCAACTCATAGTACCTCAACCTTATTGGCTCCTGCAATAGAAATCCGAACACACAAAGCCACAAAGATACAAGTCATACGCTCAAACCACTGACATATGAGCTATTTTGAACAACAACAATTGCTACCTACTACTACTACTAGTACTACTGCTGCTACTACTATTACTACTAGTCAAATTAATTGTAATATAGACATATAACCGCTTAAACTGTAAAGAAATATTGCCATACCAGTATAAATTTCTAAATGATAATGAAAAACAAATAACGATCTCGCTGTGAATAAAATTACATAGTATAGGCTTACCCAGTTCGCATCTTTCTCCTCCCCATGGCTGTTTGCATGAACAAGCAAAAGTTTCCTTTTCTTGGTCAAAAATACAAGAACCTTTATTTAAGCATCCGTTCATAAGACAGCCCTGCCGAAAACGAAAAAATAAATATCCAACTGATATGATTCTACAACCAAAGCATTTAGCCTTTTATCTATCATTCAGAGAGTTTAAATTTTCGCAGAGATCTTTTATCTACGGAAAAGAGAAGAGAAAATCTTTCAGTTGACGATTGAAAATTAAACTTAACATGTTAATTCCAGATAATTTTTTTTTTCGCAGAGATCTTTTATCTACGGAAAAGAGAAGAGAAAATCTTTCAGTTGAGGATTGAAAATTAAACTTAACATGTTAATTCCAGATACTTTTTTTTTCTTAGCATAGGTAACACGGTACAGCGACTCATCGTTTGCAACCCTAACCCTAATCCTAGACTACGACCAGTCCCCATTTTTCCCCAGGGATAGTAAAGCGCGCGAAAGGCGAGGGCGCGTACTCGCGAGGGGTGATTTTCATGCGCTCTCGCGTTTCGCTAGCTCTACTATTCCTGAGGAAAAATGGGGACACTCGTAGTCTACCCTAACCCTAACCCTTCAAGTAGTTCAAAAATTTACAACGGCTATTCAATATCATGTTATTAAATATAAATTTGGAAAAGACCAGCCGCGCTGCCGTAGGAAAGTAAAGTTATATGAAAGTAATTCGTAATTCGCTTGCTATGAAACAAAGCTATATCATGTTGTGACTGTGTCTCTCGAACCCCTCATCATGTCAAGAGAGCAGAAAGGGACGAAGACTAAACGTAACAGTGTTTTACACATTGACCAAGGCAACGTTTAGATCTTCTTACCTTAACGAACATTGTAAAGGTAGTGCCTAGTTGCTGAGTAAGCTTGCTGGTATCGTCGTTTATTGCAGAAAAGTCGTGCTTGTTTAGTTCACAATTTCCACTGCTACTTTTTTCAAGGAAGGCCTCTTTAAAGTTGATAGAGGTACACCAGGGGTGTCTTAAACACTCCTGAACGCATGACATTAGACTAGGCGAATTAGTTTGTTTAGCAACTTGACCTGCAAAATACTTGTTTTCTCTGATTATGAAGTAGCCCGATCTGTAGTTTTCGTGTGCTGCAATTACCGTCGCAGCTATGCAACAACTGATGAGTGAAAGAAACATGTTACACGAGACTTTCCGAACTAAATGTTGTTGGTAGTGGTGTTATACGTGAGATATTAATTGTAAAGTTGCCATTTATAATCGTGTAGAATTTACATTGGGTTCTTAGATATCACTTAGCAGAAGTCGGTAATCGAAACTTGATTGACGTGTTTTAAAGTTTGTTACATCTCATTTCATTAAAACTTAACTAAATAAAATTGCGAGGGAATCATTTTTGTTCTTCGAAAGTAATGTGAGTAAGATAGATAAATTAAAACATAATTAGGGTGTAATGTTGTCAGTATAGCCGAGGGAGACCCTCTACAGACAGGAAACATTTTAAAAAATTATTATTTCATGGCAAACCCCTAGCCACTGACATATATTGTGCAAATTGTCAGAATATATTTTTATTACGTTTTATGCAAAAAGTTTGGCAAACATGCCAAATTTTTATCGTTAGCTTAAGCTGATTATTTAAGAAACACATATCGTGTTGCAATTAAACAAGCTGATTAAACAAGGCGAACCGTTGTTCGCTAACTGTGCAAGCTGCTGGCTAAACATTTTCAGCATAACATAGATAATAGTAATGTGTTTTTTATTGGGCCAATGTCACCACCACTCTGTCCTAAGTGTAAATTTGAAAGAAATTACAGGCTATGACAATAAAGAAGACTTGACTGTGTTCTGATCTGTTGTAGAGCACGTGCGAGAAGTGGCTCGAGCACGATAGAAGTGTAGGGGGAATCACGAGACGTAGTCGAGTGTTTCTCCCTACTGCATATTGAAGAGCTGCATACTGCTTCAATATGCAGTCTCCTGCTGCATATTGAAGAGCTTCGACTAATTATGGCTGATCAGTGTCTTGATCTGCTAGCTGTTAATGAGACTAAACTCGATTCTACAATAACTGACAACTTGGTTCATATTGAAGGCTATTCAATCCTAAGAAAGGATCGAAACCGTCATGGCGGCGGCGTGTGCATTTATCTTCGATCGAATATTAATTATTGCCTTAGAAATGAAATAATTCCCAATAACGAGTTTGAAATGTTAAGTGTTGATATTAAAAAGCCTAATAGTAAAGCTTTTAGCGTACCTGCGGCCTACAGGCCCCCTAGCTGTACGGTTGGCTTCTTTGAAGCTTTAGAAGCTATTGTTCGCATTATTGACGTGGAATCTGAGGAAAAAATTATCTTACGCGATTTAAATTGCAACTATCTATCGGATAGAAATAACATGCACCTGTCTCAGTTGAAGCAATTAAGTTCGACCTATCAGTTTCAACAACTAATCAATGAACCTACTAGAATCACGCCAAATTCTAGTACACTTATTGATATAATATTATCAAATGAACCCTCAAGGATTTTAAAATCAGGAGTGGTGCATATGGGATTAAGTGACCATAGTATGGTCTATGCAGTACGTAAGTTTGCCATTTCATCTAAAAACACTCATAAGCATGTGACCACTCGTTCTTTTAAAAACTTTAATGCAACTGCTTTCAGAGATGATCTAAAGTCAGCGCCCTGGGATAGCATAAGAAATTGCACTACTCCCGATGAAATGGTTGAAAATATGGGAAAATATGTTTTTAAAAATAGCTGACGCTCATGCGCCCATAAGAACACGGCGAGTAAGAAATAAAAAATCTCCTTGGATTACTGCTGAGGGAGCTGATAACGGGTCGAAACAGACTGAAAAGGCAGGCTATATTAACAAAACAGCCATCTATCTGGGATAAAAGAAATAGAATAAATAATGAGATTAAAAAGGCGAAAGCGAATTATTATAAATCAGAAGTGGAACAAAATGTGGGTAACCCGAAGGAAATATGGAGGACAGTCAATGAGTTAACTGGTAATTCTTCAATAAGTGAACTAAAAAGTGGTGATAATTCCTTCACAAAACCCGCAGAAATGTGTGAGATTTTAAATGACCATTTTACACCTAGTGGAAATACAAGTTTTGACTCATACATAAAGCCTGTTTCCACGACTTTCAATTTACAACATACCTCTGCCACTGAAGTTTTAAAGTTACTAGGTAAATTATCTCCGAACAAGGCCACTGGCCTTGATAACATCTCATGTCGGCTTCTAAAAGAAGCTGGCCCAATTATTGCCAGTTCTTTAGCCTGTATCATAAACAAAACGATAGATACTGGCTTCTTTCCTTCACACTGGAAAATGGCTAAAGTATTTCCTCTGTATACAAAGGATGATCGCACAGATGCACAAAATTATAGACCGATATCTGTCTTGCCAGCCATTTCTAAGATTTGTGAAAGGGTAGTCTACGATCAACTATTACTTAAATTCAAATGGCATGTTAACAAAAAAACAGTCTGGAATTCGTTCCCTTCACTCTACAGTGACAGCGTTGTTACATTTAACAAATAATTGGTATCTTAACATTGACCAAGGCCTGACCAATTTGATTGTGCTTCTCGATCTTGCCAAAGCCTTTGATACCGTTTCACATAATATTTTATTAAAAAAGCTTGAGCTCTATGGTCTGAAGGGTGTAACGCTCGACAGGTTTTCATCGTACCTATCAGATAGGTGACAGCAGTGTGTAGTAGAGGGCTGTGTATCTAAGCCCCAGTTGATAAGTTGTGGAGTTCCATAGGGTTCAATTTTAGGCCCTTTGTTGTTTTTAATATATATTAATGATCTCCCTGGATGTCTTCTCCATACCAAAGCACACATGTATGCCGATGATACCACGATATATGCGTCCTCTGTATCCACTGCTGAACAATATGCCAAGGTAAATAATGACCTAACTCGCGTTAGGGGTTGGCTTCTTGCAAATAAGTTAAGCTTAAATGTCACTAAAACGGAGTATATATTCTTAACAACTACCTTCAAATTATCTAACTTAGGAAGAGACTTTCCAATTAAGATTGGCAACAATCATTTTAAACGAGTCCAAGCAACAAAATATTTAGGAATTCACTTAGATGAAAATCTTATATGGAACGAGCATGTCGACAAACTTTGTTCAAAAGTCAATCGATCCACTAAAACAGGCAAGTGATTATGTACCATTAGATGTTCTAAACACTATTTACAAATCTCTTATCCAGCCTGTGTTCGACTACTGCGACGTTGTTTGGGACAATTTAGACCAGGGACTTGCCACTAGGATCCAGAAATTACAAAATCGTGCTGCACGCACGATTTAAGGCACTTAAGTGAATGGAAATGTACCTAGTTTCTTAAGCGATCTTTTCTCGAATGTCGGTGAAAACAACCCTTAGACGTCTATGCTAAGAAATACGGAATATAATGTTGTACTGGACCATGTTCCAAAAACAGAATATTATAAAGGGTCTTTCTCATACAGAGGAGGAATGCTGTGGAATTCATTACCAAATGACATAAAAGCGTCCGAATCTAAAGCTATCTTTAAACGAAAACTGGCTAGTAGGCAGGCAAACTGTTGACTACATTTTACTATATTTTATTATTTGTACATATTTTTAGTGTAGTTGTACAGTATTTACTTCTGTTTCTATACGGCTTTCATGTAAAGAAGTCATGTAACTTATGAAATTACCGTATTGAAATAAAAGTGAATCAATCAATCAATCAATCTTGAGTGCTCCTAAATACTCAACAACAGAACAGAACATAGTCAAGGCTCATTATTTGTTTTATGATACAGAATCCGTTAAATTCTCCGCGGATTGCTTTCTAATTTTCAAAAAAAACTTTTGGCAGACTGCGTGACAGCTTTAGTTGTTCCTTATTTTATACCCTCAATTAAAGCACACTTTTTCAACCAATCAGAGCGCGCGTTATACCTGAACTTTACTATACTGGCAGTGTCAAGATGATAATATCGGTAGCGTAAAAATTCCAGTGGAAAATGTAAGTTGGCTGATACTATCAAAGAGAAACTTTGACACTGATCTAGGAAGTGAGGCAGGTATCGAATAAACAAGTTTTAAGTGTTTTAACAAAACACGACTTTTTTGAGAGTCTAAAGATAAAGACACAGCAACTGAAATTATTTCCTTTCTACTGATTTCACGTCCATTTACCTCTTGTTTATGACGATCAATCGATCGCAGCAACTTAAAATATTTCTTTGTGATTGATTTTAGAACATGTCCAGAAATCTCGCACATCATACTTCGCGCGACTTACATTCAGGCTGTTTCGCAATGGCTTTTTCTGCTGGTTTTTACTGTGATTCCCGGGCTCATAATGTTCGGAAAGTTCGAGTGGTCCAATTCATAGCTGTTTATGGTCAAATAAAAGCAGCTGACGAAAAATACTGCTAAAACCAAGGATGGTGAAAAAAATTCTGCGAAACAAGCTTTCGAACGAGAGGTTTTGGAGCCAATTACGGAAGCCCTTAAGGGACATCGATGTTAAAGCTTAATTGAGAGTTTGTCTTTTGAAAATCGGAGTTTGTTTTATCGAAAATATTTGATGGAGCATAATTTAGACTATGACGAACAAATAGCCCTTAGCAGTTAGCTTTTCTCGTTTGCATAATACAAAATATATTATCCAACCTTTATGAGAGGCAATTTTGGGCAGAAACTACAAAAATAATTGCTTGAAATTACCTGAAAAGAGTTTACCCCGAATTTTTTTACTAAAATGTTCCATTCCTTTGTTTATCAGAGGAGCTCATCCAAGGGTCCACAGATACCTGGGGCTGCACCTTCAGATCCAGTGTGAGTACAATGTAACTACCTCGCCAAATTTTGTTGAGATTGTTACTGAAACTTGTGATTTTACAAAAGGTGCTTTTGATATCATTTTTGGCCCAGTTCATATATAATTCCATGGTTTCACATCCAATTTTGTTCTCAAGATGGTCTGTAGGTCTGTATTTCTGAGCAGTGATGTCAAAATTTTTATTAGAAAAAAATATCATTAATGAACATGCGATTGGAACTAATTTATCTAGAATTTCTTTTTGTCTCCCTTGTCACTTTTTTCCCCAAAAATAATTGAATCCACAAAAATTACTTATTACTGTATATTCTCATTGACTCCTGTGCCACCCGTAATCAGCTGTGACAAGCCTTGGCCTCTGTTCCACCTCTGACGTCATCACCTTTGACCAAATTGGCATCAACTATACTCATCCGTCTTCTGTAGAAGAAAACGATCTTCCCAACAATACCAAGATTAGAGTGATTGGCTTAATGGAGCATTAAATAATATTATGCACAAAATGTTTAGAATTTTGAGTGAAAAACTTAGAGCAAAATTCCCTGTGACTACATGTGGCCACTCCATGGTAAAAATTGCCTGACTGTCTCCATGATGCTTTCTTGAAATGTTTTGAACTGGAAGCAAGCCCAGTAGAAGGTCAATCACTGCAGCAAAAAGATAAGAAAAGGAGAAAAAGGAAAGGCGAAGAAAATTAAAAAAATGAAAACCTTAAGACATAGGTCACTTTCTCGAAATTTGATTTCTGGGCATCCCAGAGCAAAGATGTCATAAAACTTGATGCTAGTGGAAAGAAAGGCATGCTGTCATGAAGCAAATGCCTTTTCGAGTAGTCTGAAGCTAATTTGACCAATATCCAGCCTAAAAATCTCCAAAACATCCAAAAAATGTGTTTTTGGCACTAAAAATAAACAAATCAATAATTGATGTGGTATTCTCTTTTTTAGGAGTGAGAACTTAGGGGACATGGCAAAGGCTGGCAGTGTTCATGAGTACTTGATAGAGTTACATGAGAAGTATGGCGACATAGCTGGATTCTGGTGGGGAAAAGAGTTTGCTGTCAGTCTGTCATCAGTTGAACATTGGAAAGAAATACAACCACTCTTTGACAAGCCATGTAAGCTGATGTTCAGTTAAGTTATGTTACTATAAATAATAGTGTAAGTAGAAATTTAGCTCACATATAGCCACAGGGTTAATGGATATTGATTTGCTGTTCCTCTAGTTCTGGCACGATTATATTGGTCAGCTGAAACAATGTTTTGCTTTACCTTTGATAGGTATTTTAAATTTATTAATGGTAATAATTGGTGTTGTTTGCCTTCAGATGAGCAATTTAAGTTTTTTGAGCCTCTGTTTGGAAAAAAGAGTCTGACATACAAGAATGGACCAGAAGCACGCAAGAAAAGGCAACTCGTTGATCGCAGTTTTGGCCATGAAGCAGTGACACACTATTACGATCACTTTACCAAGGTATTGTTACTCTTGCAGTGTTCTGTTCCTATATTATGGTGAAGGGAAGGTGCGGTGGCCTCATGGTTAGTGTACTCCACTCTGGAGCGAGCGGTCCGGGTTCAAGCCCTGGCCTGGGACATTGTGTTGTGTTCTTGGGCAAGACACTTTACTCTCAAGATGCCTCTCTCCACCCAGGTGTATAAATGGGTACCGGCAAATTTAATGCTGGCGGGTAACCCTGCGATGGACTAGCTCCTAGCCACTTCATGCCACGGAAACCGGGATAAGCTCCACCTGATGGGCCACTTGGCTGGTATGCAGACTTTGCCTTGGTGGAACTAGACAGTATTCTTTGACACTATCAGGCCACTAGGCACTTATATCTAGTTTCTGTAGCATGAAGAAGTCGGAAAGTGGTTATTATTCCATTTTATATAGGATGGTTAACTCCATCATTATCTTGCACCTCCGTCATTTAAATGACACCAGCACCCAGAGATACACTTTGGTTGGTCAAAATTTATAATGTTGCCAAAATGGATAATGTTATCCACTCTTTAAAGGTCAACGTGTTCAAACTTTTGACAAAAAGCTGGAAGTAAATATATTGAAGTGTTAAGTAAGTATGTAGACTGGTAATGTAAAGAAATGTAACCAATCTCTGACAACCTAGCCAGGGAAGCTGTTCAGTGACAAGATAATTAAAAGTGAATGTCTCCAATAAAGAGACATGCAAACAGGGCTGACTAACAATTTGATTTATTTAGTGAAATTAACAATGGGGAACCATAGAACCATGGTTCTCTCAATTCTCAGTAAGGTTTTCTGTCACATTATACCAGAGAGGCTGAAACATGCCCCTAATTACAAACTGGGTTATGACCAGGCAGGGTTTAAGAAAGACAATAAGTTTTGCACCAATCATATTGCATCCTTGAGGATAATCATTAAGCGATCTACAGAATGGCAGTCACTCCGCTTTACGTGAACTTTATTGCCTTCCAAAAAGCTTTTGACAGTGTTGTCAGGAATGTCATCTGGCAACTAATGGGTCACTGTGGAGTTCACTTAAGTTTATTAAGTTGATTCAGGCCGCGTTTTATGATGCCTCATCCTGTCAAGTCATTCAGGATGGGAAACTGTCAGAGCCATTTGAGATGAACACAGGGGTCCGTCAGGGCTGCTTGCTGTCACCAATGATCTTCATAATGGTTGTCGAGTGGATTATGAGAAAGACAGAGAGTCAGGGTAAAACAGGTATACAATGGATATTTACAACTCAGCTCTATGACCTGGACTATGCAGATCGATAATATAATGATGTCTCAGAAACTGCAACATATGCAAGCCAAGACTGGCCATCTGCCTTGCAGAGATAACCGGCTTCAGGATCAGCAAAGAAGAGAAGAGGAGAAGATAAAGCTGAAAGATGTGGAACTTTAGGACGTTCACAGCTTTGTGTATTTAGGGAGTATCCAGGGCTCTACACATACTTTTAACATAACTTGCCACTATGGAAAGTATGCTTAAAAAATTTACTCTGCACAGCAAAAAATTTCGTTTCCAAAATTGAAGGAAGCATATTTTTTACTTGCCATAATCACTAACAAACTCTGAGAGCCACTCTCTTCGAAATCCATATCCAGTCTTCTTCCTTTTCTGTTCAATTTTTCTCAGGCCCATATAGAGAACTGTAATGAGTTATAATAATTCAGAAAAAGACTAGCACTTTAAGTCGGAGGATAATTTGATCAAAGGTGGCAACAAACGCCTTCCACACGTATTAAAACAGTTATACGTTTGTTGTAATTTGTCATGAATTGGACATAATGGTTACCATTGCCTGTTCTTGGTTTGTTTCTTCTTGACTCCTTGGCGAAACTTCATCGCTAGTGCGTCAAAAAACCAAAACAGAAAAGGCTTAATATGTTGTTGATCGACAGCAATGAACGCAAAAAAACGCATTCAAAATGGCAAATAACATTTCATTCCCGGTATTGCTCAACTCCCCTACTGTATCATCTATTTTGTGCCCAGTCGTTCTTTTTTTATATTTGCGTATTTCTACATGCATTAATTTTCTACCAGCCAAAAACTACTTTCCAGACCAGTTGTAGAAAACAACTTTCTTGATCGGGCAAGTATTTTTCGTCAATTGACATTTTTTACTTCCACTGAATCTACTTTACTCTCTAGTGGTGAACAGGTAAGTGTCAGTGTCGAGCCCATCACTTCAGATGGAGTAGCGGATGTAATATTTCAAAAACGAGTGTGAGTGTTTCATCGGGGTTTCCAACACGAGAAAACTGGTGAAAGCACGAGGCCGCAGGCCAAGTGCTTTTATTGTTTTTGAGTGTTTGAAACCCCGATAAAACACGAAGCACGAGTTTTTGAAATTACCTCTCCAACAAAAGAAAATTAGTTTAAGCTATCATTTGAATAAGTTTTTTCAATTCAGCTATTATATTTGAGACGTGAAATATGCATGAACCTCAAAAAAAAGTGTATGATGTGCATGGTCCTATCACCTAATTGCTGCGCTGTGACAATTTTTGAATATTCAACAACTGAGGTCACGTTACCTAGCTGTTTGTCATTTCCGAGCGAACACCTTGCTTCGCAAAGCAAATGGCAGAGTGCAGATTTAGACCTCCCAAAACTAGCGAAGAAGAGGAAAAGTGTGTGGCCAGCGCTATTCCGAGGTAACGTTTGCATTTAGTCTGATAAAATTTCTAACGTCAGTGCCATTTTAGGTCGGAAGTGTGCAGCATAGTTGAAAGTGAACCAAAACACGAGGTCGCTATCATTGAGCGAGAATTCAAATTTAGAAAAAGAATGGCCTTTTCTGTTTTGGGTTCTTTAAGAACTGTTCCGTTACATTCAACGTTAGCAGTAAAAAAAAAATTTAGGTTTAAAGTTTGTTTCGTAAAATGTGTGATTAAATAAAGTTGTTTATTGCCACATGTTTTTGTTGCTTTATCAATATGCAGATCAAGAAAATTTGCATCCGTGTTTGAAATTGTTTCAAACACGGGTGTTCAAACATGGCCTTGTTTTCAACTCGTTTTTCTTTGGGTTTCTGAACCCATCCACCTGACCAGAATATGAGTGCTCTGGTTGGGTAAGAGCTGCATGAATAATTAATGAGTTTGAGAAAAAGAGGTAAAAAGCAGGATAGGCAAAGCCAGGCAGGCCTTAAATACCCTAAGACCAGTTTGGAACTTAACATTAATATCCACAAAAACCAACTACGAAATCTTTACTACCAGTGCGACATCAGTTCTTCTACAGGATTTTGAGATCTGGAGAGTTACAAGATCCATATCAAACAAGGTGCAAACCTTCACTAATCAATGTCTGAGAAAGATCCTAAAGATAAAGTCTGGCCAGAGAAAATCACCAACGGGGAACCTTAGGCAAGTGCAGACTGAGAAAAAGTGTCTATTTCCAGCAGAGATCACCAGGTGCAAATAGAATTGGATTGGCTACACATTGCAGACAGGCCCTAGAATGGAATCCACAAGGTAAATTTAAGGTAGGAAGACCAGTGAAAACCAGGAGGAGGTCAGTTGAAGAGGAACTCAGAGAAGCCAACATCACCTGGAATACAACGAAAAGAGAGGCCGCTGCTGCAGCATTCCAACTGCCCTTTGTTTCACCAGGAACATGATGGCCTAGAGTTAACTTATAATGAACTGATGCTGCTTCTTTGCTACAAAAACTGAATTAAGTGAAGCGCTGGCAAGAACAAGCCACTGAGTTCTCACTACCTCTTGCTATTACCTTTCCTTTTGCACCTGTTGCCCATCGCTTACAGTCTTAGTTAGTCAAAGCCTTTTGCATTAATTGAATTTTTTTTTTAGATCGCAAAAGGGACAGCAGAGAAGTTTGTCACATACTCTCAGACTCAGGAACATATTCCGTTAGGGAAATACATGCTAGCCATGGCCATCAAAGCCATATCTGTAGCAGGAATGGGTCGCTTCTTTATGGACAAGAAGGAAATTGACAAAATGGCAATAGCATATGAAGAGGCAAGTAAGAGTTTTGTAACATTTACTTCAGTCTCAATTTCCAGCCAATCTCCCAAAATGGATTTCCCCCTCTGTAGATATTCACTATCAGCATCTTAACTGCTGCTATCAATAGTGGATCATCATCATCATGTTTAGGTTCCAAGTAATTAATTGCCCTGCTGGCTTTTCTCTCTTCTGCATTTTATTAACCCTAAAATAAGGGGGCTCTCCGAACCCCTCCCCCAGATGTGCCGCTGATTTGTAGAACATATCACAGCAGCAAAGCCCTTTGTACATCTTTGTGTTGTGTGTCTAGAACAACATTTTAGCTTGCTTGCACTTGTTTATTACAGTTATTAATTTCATGAGGCATAAATGCCTGTCATTTAAAGCTCAATGTATTGCACTGTCGTGAGAAAAAGTGATAGTCAGTGCTTTTGATTGTTAAGTCCACAATGTAATTCCATTCTATCAAATTTAGTGTTGGAATGAAATGGAGGCTCGGCTTGCCGGTCCTTGTCCTGCTCCTGACAGTGAAAGGGAGAAAAAATTTCAGACAGGTAATACGTAAATCAGTAGTTTGTATATGCTATTGTGTAAAGTCTGCATACGAGCCAAGTGGCCCAGTAGGCCAGCACTTATCTGCAGTTTCCTTAGCATGAAGCAACTTGGAGTAATTCTATTGTACTTCCCCCCTGGATGAGATGCTAGTCAATTGCAGGGTTAAAGAAAACAGTATTAAATTTGCCAGGACCCATTTAAACTCCTGGGTGGAGAGAGGCTCATACTGTAAGAGTAAAGAGTCGTGCTTAAGAACACAATGCAATATCCTGGCAGCCAGAGCTCAAACCTGAATCGCTCAATCCAGAGACGAACACACTTACCATGAGGCCACTGCCGCTCATAGTTAGTGGAAGATCTAGATAATGTATTAAAATGAATCTTACTCTGGGTTGGGCTGGAGATACAATGTATTGGCCTATCACGGTGCCTTTTCCACTCTGTGCTGGTAAACTTAAAAGCAATCATACGAATTCTAGGGGCAGTGTTAATACTGTGGTGACACAGCATCCCTTCTAGAGGGAATGGTATTTTCCTAGTCATTTCATGCAACAGAAACTTGTTGAAGTAACTCCTTCAGTGTAACTTGCATGATCATGCTTGCTTACCATGGCAATGGAAGATGAAAAAATGAGAGCCCTTCTAATTTTTTTTGTGTTTGGTTCAAAACCATTAGAGAATAAGCTCAAAGTAACATATCAAGCTAGAAAGTAAGGACATAGAGGAGGGTGTTTTTGGTCTTCAAACATTTTTTTTAAAGTTTGGCCCATATTTTTTACCTAGAAATCAAATTTGTTTAGTGTAAATAATTCCACTAAGTAATCAATTGATGACATACTGTACCCACTCAGATTCTATTTGTTTTGTACGAATGTAAAGCTAACTGTATTATTTCAAACTTCATTCTTTCTCTCATATGCAGCAAAAACTTACATGAAAGATACGGTCAAGAACCTGCTGAATAAGAGAAAGCAAGAAAATAATAAAGAGGAAATGCTGTTCATTGATTCCATTTTGGATTGTGATCTTATGGATGAAGAAGAGGTAGCTTGATGGAGTTAAATTTTCTGTTCCAAAATGTACTTTGTTAATGAATATCTTCCTTTGTCTTGGACTGAAAAAAAGTAAATAGTGAAAATTGATGAAGTTAACCTATAATAGCTTGTATTAACTTGGTGTGATTTTACTCACAAGTGTTTTTCTGCATATGCTTGGGGCAAGCCATGAGGAAAATTTAACTTGAAAAAACATACAATTTGCGCACAAAATATTGACAGCTAAGCAGGTTAAACTTCAAATTACAGTAACTGTTGTAATAATAAAATAAAATTATTATAGGTCACTACTTGTTGTATAACCACATTCAATTTTTTGAGAGCAAGTTTTAGCTTAATCATTAAGTAAGCACAAGGTATGTATTTTTTCTTGCTCTTTGTAGATGAGCGATAATGTGATAACATTCCTAGTTGGAGGCTTTCACACCACAGGGTTTAGTAAGTACTGTTTAAACAATAAAACAGTATCAAAAATACCCTATGAGGTGTATTACACAAAGTCAATTGGCTCAAAGGTACCTTGAAAAAGTGCAGTGAATTCTAAAACAGTATCAAAAATGCCTTATAAGGCGGTAATTAGAGGGTCAATTGGCACAAAGGCTTCTTCAAAAATTAGCTGTGTATTATTTAAGGTTAACACACTCATTGCTCGTGAATTATTGGTCTTTACCTGCACTCGTTCACTAATAATGAACTCAAATTTTTCAATACCGCACAAGGTCGTGTGTTAACATTTTTATTATTCAAATTGAATACACTGCAAAAAACTCGTCTAAGTTCGAGTCAGCCAAAGCCATGGTGTAATGACAGACGGCTATTACACCACAATAATGACATCAAGGAGGTTGTTTCGTCACAACCCAGTATCACATGGTAAAAATCAACCAATCAGAAAATCGGAATTCCTACAGTGTATGAAAGTTTAATAATTACAGGTTAACACACTCAGCGAGTGAATTATCGGGATTTACCTGTACAAGTTCGCTAACAATGAACAAAACATTTCAATACCGCACAAGGTGGCCTCGTGCGGTATTGAAAATTTTAAGTTCATTGCCAGTGAATGAGTGCAGGTAAATCCTAATAATTCATGAACAATGAGTGTGTTGACATTTTTATTATTCAAATTGAATTCACTGCAAACAAAAATCGTCAAACTTTGAGTCAGCCGAAGCCATGGTGTAATGACAGTGGTGTATTGAATTTACACCACGGCTATTACACCACGATAATGATGTTAAGGAGGTTGTTTTGTGACAACCCATTGTCACGGGGTACAAATCAACCAGGCAATCAGAAAAACAGAATTCGTACAGTGTATGAAATTTGGATAATGATAATAATTATAATTAATTGCGGTATCAAAAATGGCTCATATGATTGGTGTATTAGAGACAAATTTGGGACAAAGAGGCAGCTTAAAAAAGTGCAGTGTATGTTGTGTATTGTGCCTTTTCACTGCTCCAGCTTTATGCCAAACAAATCTGTTAGATTAGATCTGTTTAGTAGCATAACATGCATGGGAACATGGAAAGTTTCCTGTTGTTCTTCATGTTCTTAAGAAGACGCAAAACCAGGCAATTTCAACAAGCTAACTGTAGTGCACACACTAAATCATTAAAAGCAATATCCCACCCTTTCCATGAACAAGCACAGAAAGCATTTTTAATGTGACTGTATCATGACATGACCTTTTAGTGATCTTTTTATTTCATTTTATCAGTGATGACCTGGTGTTTGTACTATCTGACAAAACATCCCGAGGTTGAAGAAAGAGTTTTTGCCGAACTGGACAAAGTATTGGGAGATGAAGACATCAAACCACAAGTTGCCTCGGAACTGAAGTGAGTGCACTTTACACCATCTAAGTTTCAAAGCTCAGTTTTTTGTTGATGAGAATTCCTAGTGGAGGTGGTGTGGCTGAGTAGTCAGGGCACTGGATTTGAAATCTGGAGATTGCTTGTTCAATAATCCTCGTCTCTGCCACTTAATGGGTTTGTGTTTTGTAATCCCAAATTCAACTCTACCTTGTCTTGTAAATAGCCAACTGACCAGCTTATCAATTGGGATTCTAAAATACTTTGGTACTGGTAGTTAAATAGAGTGATCTAAAGTGATCTATCTCCTGACCTGTAGGGACTCCCATTTGAAAAGGCTGGGAATACTTGTCATCTTCCCTAGGGATGCATATCAAGGACAAACACCACTATTTTTAGTAGTCAGTGTATCTTTCAGAGTGAAATAACAGTGAAAACCTGCTTTCATAAATTGATATTTTTAGCCTAGATGTCTGCTGCTCTTTCGAGTTCAGTTTACTAATGCTGGCTGCTACATTTCTCTAAAAGTGGCTGGTTATCTAGCCAAGTTGGTTGTAAGCGGTATCTTTTAGGAGTCAAATCAAACTCAAGCCATGCCCAGATTGGGGATTAATTCAAATTTCTGATGAGCATCTGTGACCTTAATTATATAGGTGTCCCCCTGGTTCTGATGAACTGTTCACAACATGATCACGAATGACCACATGGTTTCCATTCATTTAGGTACACTCGTCAGGTGCTTGATGAGACCATGCGTGCCTCTGTACTGGCTCCTTGGGGTGTACGAATCCATGAGTTTGATCTCCAAGTTGGAGAATTTGTCATTCCTAAAGAGGTAATCATATGACATAATGAAATAAACATGTGTTTTACTCCCTGCTTAATTCATCCAATGAGAGAAAAATTTCTATAAATCCACCAAAATAGATGTACAGTTATATGGATCTTTGTTGTGACTGGTTATTGCCAGGCAATAATTTTTCATGCAGAAGCTAAACAACCAATCAGAGCAGAATTGAGTACTATGTCATTGTTAGGAAATTAGGGTCACGTCGCAGCTCTTACAAGGTCTCACCTGATTGGAGACCACCCTTCAGGTTGACTAACAAAAGAACAAACGACAGAAACAATGGACCCTAGCCCTAAAAGTAAAGGGCTGCAACCCTATCCCCGCTTATGAAATTTAGAGCTTGTAGGAGCTCCCAGGCTACCCGGGGGAAATTAAAGCAATTGCCAAGTCACCATACCACCTTGATACTTTTGAAAAAGGATACTGGACAGAAGACCTTTAAGACTAGTAATGTGTGTCACGCAATTCAGTATGTTATGTAATCATCAGATCTCAGCCTTGTTACGTAATCATTGAGTTTAAGTTTTGATTGACAGTTTTATATTTGCAGAGAGCTAACACGCGGTTAGAATTGAAGCAGATTTTAGCTTGAAGAAGGTGTTGTAAAGGGAAATTTTCGCATTAAACCGTTGCTGAAATCATGTGTTTTGTTTACCATGTGTCATGTTTATCAGGGAGGTTGGGCCGATTAGTGGAACCAGAGGCTGTTGTGAATTGGATCAAACGGGACAGTGAAGAGCAAACTTCCAAGCTACCTTGACGAGTACAACTGGCGGAAATGCTACCCTGGTGATCCGTTTGACAACTTGCTCGAAGCCATCGCAGAGTTCTGCCCACCAAACTAAGTTTACTTAGTTTTACAAACAAACGGCTCCTTAAGGAGCCACCAAATAAAAAGAAAGTTTTGAATCAACAGAACCAACCAATTATCGCATCACGCATCTAAGTCTAATTATCGAATTGTAACGTATAGTAATTTATAACTTAACATAACGAGTAAAAAGATTCACAGTTGTATCATTTATTAAACTTGAAATTGGAAATAGCAATTCATCCCAAACCTGCAAGATAGAGAACGATGTTAGCAACACAAACGCACAAGGTAAACATCATTGATATATACATGACATGCTATAAGAGGCCGCGTTGCATTGTAGGGCGATTTGAACGAAAGTGTTCGTATATTGATACGCAGCTTATGGTTTTCAGAGTTTTTGGCCGAGTTTTCGATTAAATTATCTTCCAATGCGATTCTTAGATTGTCTGGTGTGTTGTAAATTACGCAAGTGATATATCCTATACGCATCTGATAAGAACATTTTGGAAGAAACGTTTCTTTACATACTTTCAACTTTGCCGTCGAGCGGTAAGTAGGTGAAGTCTGTCGAGTATTAACTACATCACCATTACAGAATGTTATGTCAAAGTTAACTGCTCGTTGCTCGTTTTTTCTTAACCTGTCGGTAACCTGTTGGTTAGCTGTCGGTAGACTGTCGGTAACCTGTCGGTCAACTGTCGGCCGACAGTTGACCGACAGTCGGCCGACAGGTTTTTTGGGGAGCTCTTCTTCACAATTACCAACCCTTAAGCAGTTCTGGGAGATTGAGGGTTACGGGACTGAGCTATGTGATCGAATTGTGTGCACTGAAGAAGAAAACGTGGCCTTAGAGAAAGTCAGCAGCTCTGTTCGCTACAACAATGGAAGATACAGTTTTGGCGTGCCATGGAAAAAAACAGAGGCCTCAGCTACCCAACAATCGGCAAATGGCAGAATCTCGTCTTCTCAGCACCGAGAGAAATCTGGAGAAGAAAGAGTTTGTTGAGAAGGAGTATCTGAAGACTATTGAAACATACATGGAGAAAGGGTACCTTTGTAAAGTCCCAGAAACCGAAGCTCCACCCCCTGAAATTTGGTACCTACCGCACTTTCCGATTGTCAAGATGAGCAAGTCCGCAACAAAAGTGAGGATTGTCTTTGATTGTTCTGCAAGGTGCAATGGAGTCTCTTTAAATGATGTCATTCATGCTGGGCCAAAGCTTCAGAGAGAGTTGTTTGATGTTCTAATTCGTTTCCTCCGCAACCCAGTAGCCCTTGTGCGACATCCAAGAGATGTATCTCCGGATAGAAATTGAAGCTGAAGACCGGCCATTGTTCCGAATTCTCTGGCGAGATGGAGAAACAGACCGCGATCCAGATGTGTACAAGTTCAGCAGAGTTGTCTTTGGAAAAAACTCAGCCCCCATGCAAGCCCAGTTTGTTGCGCAAGAGCATGCTAGGCGTCACCAAACTGAATATCCATTAGGTGCTGAAACGGTGCTTCAGTCTACTTATATGGATGCTCAATTCACTGGACAGTGTTGGGGAAGACGAGAAAGAGATTGAACTCTATCACCAACTTACCGGTAAGTCATTGTGGGCGAAGGCAGGCATGCATGCTCGAAAGTGGGTATCAAATTCAGCCAAAGTAATGACAGTCATACCAGAAGATGACCGAGCCACGGAAATGAACATAGGGACAATAAAGATGTAGTCACAACAACACGTGGCCTACAGTGGAACAGCACCAAAGATGTATTGGCAGTACCTGCAACACCGGCTCCATTTGACTACCTGATTGCTAAGAGGAATGTCTTGAAGAAGATTGGGACTGTCTTTGATCCACTTGGTCTTGTAAGCCCTTTCATCGTGCAAGCAAAGATTATGCTCCAAGAACTGTGGAGTCGAGGTTATGATTGGGACGAAGAAGTCCAGGATGAAGTGGCTAATCATATTCAGCTATGGCTCTTACAGCTATCGAGTCTGGCAAACATCAGCATTCGCCGTTATCTGCATGACCAGAAGCCAGTGAAATCAAAGGAAGTGGTGACCCTTGTTGATGCCTCACAACAGGCGTATGGAGCTTTATCATACTTACGATGCAGGTATGAGGATGGTACAGTAACCTCACGGCTAATCATCTCAAAGAGTAAAGTTGCTCTGCTCACCCCCATCACCGTACCGAGGCTGGAGTTAATGGCAGCCATAGTAGGGTTCAGGTTAACCCAGTGCGTATCCAGAACTCTAGGACTACCTATAAAGGCTGCAACTTTCTATTCAGACAGCACGGACGTGCTTTGGTGGATTGGTGGGAAAGGAAGAGATTTCCGGCCCTTTGTTGCAAATTGCATTGGAGAAATACAACTTAGCACTGAACCATCTCAGTGGCATGTTTCCACCAATGAGAACTCAGCAGACCTGTGTTCTAGAGGAACAAGCGCCGTTGAACTTGCAGGGTCCCAACTATGGTGGAATGGTGCTGAGTGGTTAATGAAAGCAAGGAACGAATGGCCAAAGATGCAGCTAGCAGAAAGCCCAAAAGTCATGCCAGAAATGAAGTCAGTAAAGAAACAGGAAACCAAGATTATCACATGTGTGGCAGTGCAGGCAAACCAACCTCCAACTGTGGTCAGGCCAAGTCAAGCTACTGGCTGGAGACTGAGCCCAACGTGCTTCTCAAACTGGATCCGATTAATACATATACATGCCGGAGTAAGAAGGGTTCTACACAATATGTCAAAGATGGGAGAAAAACAGACCAGTGAGGCGTTGTCGCCCCAAGAGATCAGGGAGGCTGAGGAAGAAGTGGTGCAATTGTGTCGGCGAGAAGCCTTTTGTAATGAGTACAAGGCTCTAGTGTCTAGGAAACCGATGCCGTTGAAGAGTCCACTAATCAAGTTGAACACGTCTTGGATGAAGAAGGCTGCATCCGTTCTAATGGAAGACTTCGGTTTGCAAAATACCTGCCATATGATTTGCGTTTTGCAAAGATATTGCCTCGAGGACACTGGGTAACAAAACTCATTGTCAAACACTACCATGAACAGGCCAATCATCACCGCAGGGTACCAACTTTGTCCTGTCACAAGTCAGCGAAAAGTACTGGATTGTTGCAGCCTGTGAAGAGATCCTGGAGTGGGAGCGAGAATGCAACATGTGCAAACGAAGGAGGGGCAAAGCCACTACACAGATCATGGCTCCTATTCCAGGGATCCATCTTAGATTTACCTTTCCTCCCTTTGACCAAACAGCCGTAGATTATGCTAGGCCCTTTACCACTGTGCAAGGCCGAGGAGTGCACCGTCAAAAAAGATGGCTGTGTCTATTCACTTGGTTATCAACTCGTGGGGTCCATTTGGAAGTGGCATTTGGTTTAGACATGGACAGCTTTTTGGATGCCTTTACACATTTCACTAACAGAGGAGGGGTGCCAAAGGAGATGGTCGGGGATTGTGGAACCAATTTTGTTGGAGCTGTCAATGAATTGAAAGAGCTTTTTAGTGAGTTGGACCAGGACAAGATTCAGCAAAGTACAGCCCATCGAGGTGTAAAATGGAATTTCAATCCGCCTGGGGCACCTCACTTTGGTGGCATCCATGAAGCAATGATAAAATCAGCTAAGAAGGCTATCTATGGAGTAATTGGGACCAATATCGTAACCGATGAGGAGTTAATTACCCCAGTGGCAGGGGCTGAAAGTCTGCTCAATTCGCGACCGCTTACCTACCAGTCAGCCAACCTGCAGGATATTGTACCGCTTACTCCAAGCCATTTCTTGCATGGTCAGCTGGGTGGCCAGTTCTCACCTGAACCCGTTTATACCACAGACTTCTGCCCTTGCAAACGTTGGAGAAAGGTTCAGGAGATAATTTCTCAAGTGTAAAGGAGGTGGCTGCAGGAGTATCTTCCGCTGCTAAGCAGAAGGTTGAAATGGACGCAAGTGGTGAAAGATCTAAAGGAGGATGATGTCGTGCTTGTTTTGGATTCAAAACTGCCCGGAGGACAATGGCCTCTAGGACGCACCATTGAGACCTATCCAGGTAGAGATGGCTATATCAGAGTCGCCAAGATCCAATGTGGAGCAAATACCGTTGTGGGACCGATTCACACACTAGTGCCTTTACAGGAAAGCTAGGACAGATGTAGTGAACCTTTTTTCCGCTGTTGTTCATTTTTTCTCCTTTTCTAGAGTTACCTCCCAGTATGGGGAGGGGGAAATGGACAGAATACCTTTTAGGACTAGTAATACGTTTCACGCAATTCAGTATGTAATGTAATCATCAGATTTCAGCCTTGTTACGTAATCATCAAGTTAAAGTTTTGATTGACAGTTTTATATTTGCAGAGAGCTAACACGCGGTTAGAAGTGAAGCAGATTTTAGTTCGAATGGAGAAGTCGTGTAACCGTCGTTGTAAAGGGAAACTTTCGCATTAAACCGTTGCCAAAATCGTGTGTTTTGTTTACCGAGTTTCAACGTAGCAACAGATACTCTACTAAAAATGTTAAAAATTCTTTCAGCTGTAACATCTCATTATTTCTTTAAACCTCTTTCTCAAAGCGATGCTTGGTGCACAACCGTTCATATGAAAATGAGATTTCATTCACTTGCAAATTAAACTCATTTTCATATGAATGGTTTTGCACCAAGCCTCGCTTTGATGGAGAGCCTTAGGTGAACTCCGAAATGGGCTATTTTTTCATACCCAAAATGTTTAATGCTCTCTACTCAAACATTTTTTCTCATGATATCTACAATACTATCTGTGGAAAGACTACAGCCTTTCCTTCCCTATCCCTTTGCCAATTACCTATGCCAATTTCATTATATTTTATTTTTGAGACACCAATACTTCTACCGTTTGGCATTGTCCTGCAGGATCCAAATTTGTGGCCAGAACCTAAGAGGTAAACTAAAGGCCATAACTCTGAAAACAAGCTTGGGAAATTCAAATAAACTTTTCATCTCATCCAGAATGCACTTACACATTATTGGTTGAATTCAATTCCTGTTTTAGGTTTGATCCTGATCGTTTCAGCCCTGAGAACATCAAACAGCTTCCAAGCCTTGCTTACCAGCCATTTGGCTTTGCTGGGAAACGAAAGTGTCCTGCATGGCGGTTCTCAATTACTGAGAGACTGGTGTTTTTGTCCGTTCTCATCAGACGATTCAAGTTTCATCTTGTAGAAGGGCAGGAAGTGAAACCTGTCCATCAGCTGGTGACGTCACCAGCAGAGGAGATCTGGGTCACAGTGACTGAGAGATAAGCACGAAAAGTGGAGAACTGAACCAGTCAACCATCGCTCATCCTTCATGTTAAGCCCTGATTGCAGTGAACAGCAGCTTCAGTTGTAATGACTATTAAATTTCCATATACCGCAATTCCTCTTCCAAGAAAAGTCTTGTTAGAAAGGGGAGGCTTAACTGGCTTAATAGAATAAGGGAAACTTACTTAATTTACCTTCACTGGCAAAGTAATGCATTAGGTAATACAGTCAGTTGCTTATGATTTTTGTGGTGAAAAAATAGAGAGAAGGGATGAGGGCTTAAATAAGAGGGGGTGGGTTAATAAATTTGCTTTAGACAGGAGGCTAATTAGAGAGGTGATTTGACTCGGTAGAGAGGAACAAAAAAGAACTTAAAACTCTAGAAAGGGCCAACGGACAAATCAAAAGTACCGAAACCTGGTAGGATCTGATCAGCAAATGCAAAGGCTTGAAGAAACTCAACTCAGAAAGGCTGACCGTACGGTTGAGGTGAACTGTTAGCGGTTGGGGTGAACGGTCGGCCTTTCTGTGTTAAGTTAACAGAGAGGACAACTTTGTAATTGGAATGGTAACAACATACAAAGATACACTAAACAGACCAAAAAAACTTGTTTGAGAGAGAGAGCTTACTGGAGCGCAGGACATCTTGTGGGGGGGCTTACTAGTTAGAGGAGAATAATTTGAAAAGAGCTTACTGGAGAGCGGGTTTATTTGAGAGGGGGCTTATATACGAGAAGGGGCTTATTTCAGAGGAGACTATTTTGCGAGGGGCTTACGAGAGAGGGAGAGCTAATGTGAGAGGGGGCCTTATTTATATTTGAGAGTGGGCTAATTAGAGAAGGGTACTGAGGGGCCTTTAGGGGACATGATAGACGATTTAAGGTAATTTTCTCACAACATTCTAAGTCAGGTTGGTAAGAAAGGCTTGATTCTTAAAAACTCTTATCCCTCGGCTATCTTAGCTTAAACAGAAATGATATACAAAACAACACATCAGTTTTCATAGTTGTCTTATTCAGGTTCCAGTCTTTCTCTTAGGCATTTAAATCTTATTATATCCAACAATCACTTCTGAGAATGTATGTTGAGGCATACGAAACGTTAAGTCAGTAATCAAAGTTTTGCAGGTTAGATAAATGTTGTAGGTGGTATCAGCTTTTCTTGTTCAATTCTTACATAAAAACATACGTAATATTTAAAGGTTTGTATACTTAAAAGGTCTCAATACATTAGTAAGTGATATAATGCTTCAAATAAACAAATATAGTATTTTGATAAGCGTTAAGAGTATAATAAATAAGCTATAATAAACGAGTTGAACTCAAACTTTTCAATTTTAAGTGTGAAAGTCTGATTTAATTAAATTGCACTTTAACTTGACGCCACGCAGTCTTCAAAGAACACTTGAACAGCTCTCATACCTTTTACCTTTAAAAATATCGAACCGAAATGAATGTCATCAAATAAAACTATAAACTGCTACTGCAGAGACAAAAACAGTTTAGAAATGAAATCTTTTTTCTTTAATATCCTGGAAACAATAGCTGACAACTTGTAAGCTCCAATTGAATTTATTCCCCTATCAAAAACAAAAGTGTTACCATTTATAACTAAAGATAGCAAACATCTTGTTCAAAGGATTTTCTCTAGACTGCAAAACAGCCGTATTTTTTGCGAACGCGAGCGACGGACCATATTCGAACGAAAGGCTGGAGCGAGTGAAAAAACGGCGAGGGGGAATGGTGAGAGACACGCGCTTCACACTCGAGGATCACGCTTACGGCGCTTCCCCGCGCCTTCCGAAAACGACTGTTTTGCAGTCTAGATTTTCTCCGACATGAAAAACAAAAGTGTCAAGCTACCATTTGTAACTAAAAATAGCAAGCATCTCGTGGGAACAGGTGCTGAAAATTTCAGTGTTAGCTCCAATTGAATTTACTCCCTTGTGAAAAACAAGTGTCAAATTATCGTTTGTAACTAAAAATTAAAATTATGTTTTATTTGCATGCAACAAGAACAAAACAATCGTAACCTACCTACACTAACTATTGTAAAAGTTTACGAATGCAGATTTAAATAGTTTCATCTCCTCTAAAACATGTCCTATGAACTAGAATTCGTGACCTCTAATTGAATTTACTCTGTGAAAAACAGAAGTATCAGGTTACCATTTGTAACTAAAAATAGCAAACATCTCGGGGAAACAAGTGCTCACAATTCATCACCTCTAATTGAATTTACCCCCTTGTGAAAAACAAGGATGTCAAATTACCCTTTTAATTTAAAAATAAAAATATCTCGTTACATTTGCATGCAAGAACAAAACATTTGTCACTTCCACTTATTTTGTAAACGTTAAAACTGTTTCAAAACTAAATTAGGCCCCGTCCACACTAATCCGTTTTCAAACGAAAACGGAGCTGTTTTGCTCCGGATACGGCTATCGTCCACGATCACCGAAAACGGAGCCATTCGTAAACGCTCTCCAGAGTGGAACGATTTAAAAACGATGCTTTTTGAAAACGCTGTTTTCTAGTGTGGACGGTGAAAACGATGCTATCTGAAGACGGTGATGTCATCAAAACCACTCGACCGTGAGTATCCAAAATGGCGGACGGACGCTACCATGTGGCTTCAATTTCGCGCCAATTTCGCGGGCCGATCATTGAAATGCACATGCGTCGAGTTCATTTGACCATGCGCACTGAGGGTATAACAGCGTTTTCAAACAGATACGGCGCTGTAGTGTGAACGGGCGAAAACGATACGAAAACGATAAATGTGCAAATCTTTTTGAAAACGGAGCAAAACAGCTCCGTTTTCGTTTGAAAACGGATTAGTGTGGACAGAAACGCTTGCTACGCAGGCTAATATGTCCTTTGAACTAGAAGCGACGATTCGTGACCTCTAATTACTCGTTGTGAAAAACAAAAGTATCAAGTTACCCTTTGTAACCTGCAATAAAATATCTCTTCCCATTTGTTTACTACTGACTCCTGAACTACTTCAAAACGCAAAACTAACTAGCCACCATTACACTGAAACAACCCAATGTATAATATGTAACTGTCACAATCCCCTCCAAACTAAAAATCACAAACCGGCAACATACACGTCAGTCTTTATTATTCAATCACCAAAGTCCTTGTACTTAATACAATCATAGAACTTCAAGACTTCATATACCTCACTTACGTTATCTTAAACAAGAAATTTTCTTTTTCTTCTACTACAATTCGTGCTGGCTATTAATGTAATAAAGCGAAAACCCTGATAACATTGACGAGAGAAGATTAAGAGCAGGGGACTGTAAATATCGAGAATTAATTTTCAAAACTCAAATTACGGATTTCTTCATATTTTGCCAGGAGAAACCCTTTGGTAAACTATTTTCGAAAATAAATCTAATATATAGATTTAGCCACGCCTAAAAGCGGAGCTCCCGATTTCATTACAATAATAATAACGATAATAATGATGATGATGAAGATTGTTTTATTCACACTGGTACACAATACGATATAACCTCGTTGCAAATACTGATACTTCCCAGTCAGTATCGGGATGTAATCTAGCCTACGTGTAGCCGCAACCCACTCCCGACAAAGGAAGAAGAGGAGTCAAAGAAAACTACGAAAAAAGTACAACGTAGTTAGATAAGGTTTAAAGAGCAGGAGAGAAAAAGGTCTTAAAAGTTGAAACTAAAACTAAAACTCTATAACTTTAAAACAGCACAAGAAAAGATTAACTTATCCAAGGTGAATTCACACAACAAAGTTATATATGGTATAATAAATACATTAATTTCATATACTGGAAATGCAGAATGAAGAAATAAATTCAGGAAGATCACCACAGTTATCAATGCAACTTTGGCACTGTACCTAACGTACCTAACCATTCATACAGTCATTCTCCAATTTCCACAGCAGCTGGTCAATTAGCCTGGCAATTCCTCAGAGATTGTGGTGGGAAACAGTTAGATGTCATGTGACCTCGAAGTAACTAACGAGAATGGTGCTGGGAAATATTTAGATTCTTGGAAAACAAAATTAACTGTTTCCCATGGGCCAAGTCTTTAAGTGATTTGTGATGTTAATATTTTAAAAAATTTATAGCTGCATGGAATTTCATTAAACCTCCCTGGAATGTAAGTTGTTGGTCATTCACGGGTAATAGTGCACTGTTACCCTCTGATGTGAATGATTTTTGCGATGTTGCCTGCTTAGAGAATATTGGCACCAAAAGTTTCTTTGTTAGATGTCAGGTGACATTGAAATAACCAATGAGTGTGCACATGGTTGGAAAGAAATTTCCAGCTATAATAACAATGTTTCTTAATATATCATTGTTGTTGGAGAGAAAAAGGAATGGACTGGATTCAAGTAAATAAAATCTTTTCTTCTGTCATCCTCCGTTTCCACTTCACCAGGCTTTGGAAACTCATAGTCCACACCAACTGCCCTTGCTCTAGCAATTAGGCGGTCATCTTCTAAGTGGCTACTATTATTTACTTCTGGAAGAGGTTGCTGTGTTTCCTGCACGTTGCTTGCTCCCTCAATTGGGCCATTTTCTACTGCAGGAGTGTGTTGTTCCAACTCTTCTCCTAGTATTAAAATGAATTATTTGTATTAACCAACTACACAATTCATATAAGCTATGGGGCTAGTGGATTCTATTTTTTATCTTGCCTGAGGGATAATAGAGTTGCGATTCTTGGGCTAACAGATGCAAGCTACAGCCTTTCCGAAGGACAAGCACAAAACTGACCTCCTTTTCTTCGCACCCTAGTACTGCATGCTTGTATAACTGTACAAGAATTACTATTATAAAGCTGTATCTGTGGAAGTGTTCTCAAAACCTGATTTCAAATACAAAATACACAATATTTCTACTTTTGAAACTTCGGATAATACAACAACCTTGACAATCATTTTCTAAGTGCTGATATTTCATAAACCAGTCATCAAATATAATGGGAGTGACCCAACCAATGAACT